ACAATCACACAGTTTATTCACTCTGACTTAACATAAAGCCAAACACCTGAAAATAACAAAACCCATAGACTCCCATCAATCACTCACCAACCTATAGTGAACACAGAAGCTGCATGACTGTTGCCAGGACCAAGAAACTCAAATCCAAACCTCTGTGAGAGCAACTGTTCAGGAGTTTGTGCAGCATTTTAAACCACACTCTGGCCACTTCGCCTCGTCCGCTGCGCCCCGTTCCGTCTGCGGCTGAGTGCACCGGATCTGACAAAGCCCAGGCCAACATCGTGCCCTGCTGGACAGTGATCAGACGGGGAGCAGGAAAAAGGGAGGGTTGCCAGATGAAACAAAGGGTTGCCAGTTTATGCAGCAGCTTATATGCATGTCAGGCTACAAAGAGAAATCCCAACACAAGCTGTCATTCATCCACCCATCACTCTATTTGGTGCCTGCACTGCTTCAAGGAAGGGGAAGGAGAAAAAAAGCACCAGTGGTGAATGAGAGTAAAAAGCTCAGATATCTCCAGTCCGGTCCATAAGTAATCTCCCTGCTTCACCTGCGGCAAGTTAGTTTGATAAGGCACCTCAATGCTCCGAAATCAGCCTTTGCAAATCTTCCCAGTGTGGCCTTGCAAGTTATTTTCATGCATGTCTAGTTATAACTACGGGCTCGGCAAAGACTTCAGATGAAAAGAAACCCCATAAGGCACCTCTGGGCTCCTCCGATCAGTCCAAGATTCAGTTGGTTGAGCACAGCCTGATACTAACCTGATGTTTTCTTCATCCGGCCTTATTTCTGACAGCTCTGTCTTCTGTGATCACGTAATGAGCGTGCATTCCATATTGCCAAAATGTCACAGCGTGCCCTTTTCAAGCCTCTGCTCGACACAACCAAAGCAAACTGCTTTCCTTTAAAAGGCAAAAGAGAGAAAGTCCAGTGATACACAGGTTGTGACTTTATCATGTTGCCCTTATTCACTACTATAAAAAGAGGGATGAGATAGATCAACTGTTGCCAACCTTAAAATCAAGGCAATGCACTTTTGCAATCCCTTGTCACAGATTGCATATTTGAGTATTTGAATTAACATTTTCAGATTCTTTCACTTGAATAATTTCCACAGGACTGAGGAGGTAAAATTATACAGAATTTCACAAGAAAATTGCAAAGATTAGAGAGCAATAGTTCGACATTTTGGGAAATACGCTTATCAGCTTTCTGGCAGAGAGTCTGAGAGTTAGATGAGTAGATTCATATCTGTCCATTTAATATGAAGCTACAGTCAGCAGCCAGTTAGCTTGGATTAGGATAAAGGCTGGAAACAGGGGGAAACAGCTCGGGCTGTGATGGACTATTGTAGTTTTTACACTCTGATCTGAGTATAGATGAAACAAACAGGATATAACGTGTTAATTAGTGAGCTCTAGGGATGGAGGAGGAGGGTTTTGTTACCTTTGGACAGAGCCAGGTTAGGTGTTTCCCCCTGTTCTATCCTTAATCATCCCCCGACCCCCAGGTGGAGAACCACTAAGATAGATTATAGGTTATCCGTGCATGTACTAGCAGGAAAACAGCTTGCTCATCCTGCTGGTGAATTTAAAAAGGATCACTTTAACGGTGAGCCATCTCACTCCAACAGCAACACTGGCAGCTTCATCGGAAAGCTGCCTCGACCTCCATTAAAAAAAACAAAAAAAAAAACATGACGCATCACTTAAATAAACAAAAGACATACATGTGGATGCGTGGTGCGGTGTGGGTCTCTCACCACCGGCTTCACCATTGGCCCACATCACATAACACTGTTTACAGATACCAGGAACACCAAGAACAAAATAATTCCCCTGCTGATTAACCAGCTCAAGCTTGTTCACGACGGCAACGCGATTAGCTACATTATTACCGGCTTACAGAGCGACTCAATTACGTCTCATCTTGACAGCTCTGACAGCATTCAGCTTCCACTTGTGTGTACGTTTGTGTGAAGGGCCTGAGCAGCTGCCAAGTGAGCAAAGACAGGCCGCAGTCAGACACAACAGCATGTGGGAGACTGGATGAGTTTCTTTATAAAGCCTCTGAGTTCAGGTGGACGAGGAATCATACACATTATGGATAAGAGCTAACACTCTATACTGGGAGTGTAAAGTGTGCTGCATGGACTAAGAGCCCATTCTCATATGATAGGTTGCATAAAGGCACTTACTAACACATAATCTTTAAAGGTCTCATATTGTGAGTTGTCCATGTTGTTTGATTATAAAGCAAGTCTAGGTTCTGTATTAATACTGTGAAAGTATCAAAGCCTCAGTCCACAGAGAAATATACAACAGCCTGTTTTCAAAAACTGAGCCTTAAAACGAGCCGTCAGGACTTCTGTAACTTTGTGATGTCACAACAAAGCAGTCACTGCTCTCAGCCATGCTCCAAGCCCCGCCCACCCAGACCCACCACCCAACCTTGCAGGATTTGGTTTCTCTGTGTGTTTTACCTGAAATCTGCTTTATTTTTATTTGATCACTCAGAAAACAGTCGGCCAATCAGAAGAGAGGCTCAGAGCCTTCTGTTGTTGCTACAGCTCCAGAGAGAAACCACAAATATATCTTCTTATGAAAAAGGGAAAATATAAATATGGGACCTTTAACCCTTAGCTACATTTTCACTCTTTTACTCTTCAAGAATGTGTGTAAACGTGTGTGTGTGTGTGTGTGTGTGTGTGTGTGTGTGTGTGTGTGTGTGTGCGCGCACAACACACCTCTGCTGTTAATACGACTCTGCTTGATGCAATGCTGCAGTTTGCCAGGACAGTGAAAGCAATCCAGCATAATTGTTTTTGACGCTCTGTCACAAACGAAACAGTGGCTTTGCTTTCTGCAGAGCATTAATTAATAAGCAGCCTTATGACCCAGCTGTAGCAGTTAAAGGAAAATAATTCGGGTGTGTAAGAATTCACATTTGCACATGCACAGATTTTTTTTACTTCTTAATAACATCACAGACGTGCCCTGGATTCTTCTGACAGAGACGTTCACGTTCACCAAAATCTCTCTCTCTCTCTCTCAACGATGCTGAACCTCCAGAATAACACGAGGCGTTATTTAAGCAGCGCACTCATCATGTCCACATCAACTGTTTCAGTGCAGTCCATGCTGCTTGCTTCAGTGTGTCCACTTTCCCTCAGCATGCCCTGAGGTCTCTACATTTCCCAGCATCGGCATGAACATGTTGCATCAAACATCAACTTCATCTCCTCTGACAGACTTGTCCTGATGAGCATACGCAGAAAACCCTTGTCCTCTCACTCTGGGGGTCAGGGTGGGGGTGGGGGTGCTTGACAGTGAAAATCCACTCACATTTAAACATGTAAGGCCACTTTTCTTGCTATTAAACTGTGGTGGTTCCAGACAATTTGCAAATAAACAGTGGTTGTCAGAAAAATACACCACTGAACAACAGAAAGCTAAACTGACAACTGTGTCAGTGCAGAGTTGTTTTAAGGTGGAGCTTTTTTTTCTCCTTTAGGTGTTGTTGGGTTTCACGTTCACTTTGACCTTTTAATTGCACAGTCCAAATGTATTAGGAGCATCTGACCAAAACACAGCAAATTGAGCATGTAACAGTCACTCCTTGCATTTACAGCTAGAGACTGAAATTATTGTTTTACTGTACAGTAAATATGGCACAGCTGACTTCAACTAAACTTGGTCTTTTTTTTTCTTCTTTTCTCCTCAGTGTTATGAGGGGGAATACCATTGCTTTAAATACTTTGTTAATACATAGGTACACATGGGAGTACTTACGCACTAGCCCAGATGGTGGACCCTCTAATTTGAAATCCAAGGGTATAATTAAGAGACAAAAAAATTAAAAAGGAAAGCATGAGGATTTGCTGCTTCGACATGAAACGCGGCGCAAATTACAGCAAAGCAGAAGCTCGGTTTGTGTGGTCATCATTATTAGATATTCACATTAAAAACAAAATATTCTCCGGGAAGTCAGCTTTGAACGGGGATCCGGCTGTAACTTTGAAGTTCTGTAGATAGACGCAAGCATACCCCTGAGAATTAGTCTGAACTTGATGGCGAATTAAATGGATGATATCAGATGACTGAGCTGAGGGTTTCAAGATTATTTCACTGGGGGGGGGGGGGCTGCATAGTGTCTGTGCGGGTCAATTAAAGACACAATAGCCGGTGATGCATGGCTGTGATATTACGAAGGAGATCAAAAGAGAATAAACATTTTCTGCTATTGCCTTTTAAAATGAGATAAATCAAACACGAATGTGATTGAGAGGCTGAAAGCAGCTGATGCAGGACAGGTAAACACATCATAGCGCAGGATGCGTCGTGGAGAGCGGTGCGTAAAAGCTGCTGGTTTGGGTTAAAAGCCCCTGATCCTCTTCCCTTGATTATAGTCGATACGTGACTTTTAAGAAAGCGTAACAAGCCTTTCCCAGATTTACACGGACCCGCATTTGGTATGATGTTGCCGCGGGACTCTACAGGTCCGGGGACAGATGTGTTTACCCTGTAGGTGTGGAGGTCACAGTGAAATATCTGATCAGACCAGTCTCCCTGCTCACATCACCTCACTCTCCTGTCTTTAAACTAGATAACGACACCACTATTTCCCCCTTTTGTTTTTTTGTTTTGTTTTGTTTTTGTTTGTTTTGTTTTTTTTGCTTTGGCTCCACTCTGTAAAAACTACAGTTTAAAGACAGCGTGCAGTTCGGGAAACAGTGTCGTAGTGGGATTTGGACCAAGGCGATAAACTATGAATGGAGTTACAGCGACTGCGATCTATGACATGTTCGATACCAAACAAGGAAAAATCACTATAACATTAAAATAAACGTACTTTCGGGTGTGTGTTGTGCAGTTTCTGATGGGTCAAGAGCTCGTCCGGTGCGCAAAAGAGCAACTTTCGGGGACGCTGCCGCACATTTATCGGGAACACATCCTCAGAAAAAAAAAAAAAAAAAAGGCGAGCAGAAAAGTTTTACTTACCGGTTTCGAAAGGATTTAAAGCTGCGGAGGAAATAAACCCAGCGAGGAGAAGAGCAGAGGTGATTGTCCAGGAATCCATCGCGTGATTTCAGAGTCTGAACCGGCTCTCAGGTGAAGTGCAGCCTGACGGACGGATGCGCAGACCGGCGGGGTGGTGGACTGACTGCCTGACTGCCTGGCTGGCTGTCTGTCTGTCTGTCTGTCTGTCTGCCTGGCTGTCTGTCCGGATCTGTGCAGGAGTCGCACTTTGGCCCGCGTTAAAAGTCCCTGAACTTCAAGGCAGGTCCCACAACTACTACAACACTGACACCGCAAAAGACGGGACCAGATAGTAGAGAAGCAGGGATCCTGTTTCCAACCCATGTGACAGGAAATAGGGGCAATAGATTCAACCTGCAGAGAGAAAAGAGGAAGGAGGGGAGAGGAGGAGGAGGAGGGAGGGAGGGAGGGAGGGAGGGAGGAAAGGAGGGTGGCGGTGCTGGGGTTGGAGGGTGGACTCCGTGGTGCAATGAGCAGCAGGTTGAGTTTAGGAGACACTGATTCCCCCTCTTTAAAGATTATACCCTGCACAGTAATAACTTGATAATAAGTTTCATATCACAGCAAAACTCAACAACAGGCAGGAATGTTTTGAGAAAATTACTTCAGGGGATTAAAAAAAAAAAAAACTACCTTTAAGCATCATCATGCATTTCCTGCGACTAGATGCCACTGGAGATCAGAGCTGCCATAAACCATGACAGTTCACTGTAAACATGCTGGCCTACCAGAGACACACAATAAGAGCACTGTCTTGGTTTTTATTTTGGGGTCTAAATGTAATTGCGGGTGGTGGTGGTGGTGGTGGTGGTTGTGGGGTGGGGGTCTATTACATTTGGAAACCCCTGGGCTGTGTCATACACATGGATTTGCACATGATCCTGCAGGAGCAGTGGCTACAGTGTGCAGCACAAAGGTAGGTTCATTAAGATTTGGATGGGGCTGGGGAAATGATTTCACTTGTCAAGGATTTCTTCCACTTTTTGTTCCTGTTGCTGAAGCTGAGATAAAAAAAAACAACAACAAAAAAAACAAAACATTTGATGTCTTCTTCTATTTGTCTGCCTTTATCTAGAAAAATAGAAATAGAAAAACCTGCTTTGTCCCCATGGGCACAATCTGGGGAATCAAAGACTTCTTTCTTTGTGTGAACTTTAGTTGTTTATGGCCACAGTTTGTTATTCGATTTTTTTTTATCCACACAAATTTGTGTTTTTTTCCCCCCTAAACTGAGTTTCATAAATAAAATGATTAGATAATATTTACATTTGAATTTTAAGGCTGGTGATGTTTCTGCAGAAATGTTCTTCCTGATGGAAACTCAACAGATTAGAAGATAAACTCAGTACTCCATGTACTGCATGAATGTCTTTCCCTTCACATTGTCTCCATTAAAGCTTTTTCTTATCTCATTCAGTGGATAGAAACAGGTGCATAGAGTGTGTGTGAGTGTGTGTGTGTGTGAGTCCACTGTCAGCGCCTCTCACCTTCAGACAGGCGAGCTGGTCTTCAGTGTCAAACAGCACCCTCTTGTGTTTCACTGCGAGCATCATGCAGCACTGGGAAGAAGTGGCCAAGACAAAAAAGCAGCCAGTTAGCCTAAAAATAGAAAGTCCAGTATGATCTCACCACTCTCCAAGAAGAAAAGCCCAACATTTATTTTGCCAAAACCGACAGGGTTGAGACGGGGTGCACTGGGAAAGTAATCGAAAGTGATCTAGCATGACGTGTGCCCTTTTGAGAAATGTAGCTGTGTGGCCTTCAGATAGTGGCTGGTAAAAAAAAACTTCACTTATATCACAGTGAAAGACTGAGATTTATTATGATTTATCCAAACTCACAGTTTACTATGGCTATGACTGAGATGTCTAACCTTTCCAACACTGTATGACAGCTGGTTTTCAGTCTCTATTAACCAAGTTCTGTGCTTTAATACGGTTCTTACACTGGACATTTACTTTGTAGCTGTGGTTAGTTTGCAGAACATATGATACATTTAGAAAATATGATCATTTTTCTAAATATTAAACTACTTATCAGAGCAGAGTTCAAACTGAGTTAGCTACAACACTGATATGTTTCTTACACATTTATGCGTCAGCATGTAGTACCATTAATAATCTAGTATCACTCAGAGAGGCCATACTAAATTATTACTTTGACTGGCCCCAGGGTCGCCCATCTGATAAGACTTTTGCTTTCAGAAAGTGTTTGGAACCAAAATAGTCAAACACTCTGTCACTGTGTTACTTATGGGTGGAATTGGAGTGACAATAAATGATTCCCCTTCTTGCTGCGGACGCCCAGGAACACCCTCAAGGACCACCAGGCACCCACAGACTCCACTTCAACAACCACTGACTTACATTTGGCTGATAATACTTTTGACGGGCTGCAACTAACAATTATTTTTTATTAGCGATTATTTAATCTAACAATTATTTTCTAAATGAAGTTCCCAGATCCAACAGTGGTGGTTTTATATTTTGTGTGAGCAACAGGCCCCAAACACCCAGACAGACTCAGTTAACTATCACAGGAGACTAAGGAAACAATTGAAGATTCTCAACTGATTGATCGATTATCAAAATGCAGATTCATTATGTGTTGATCAATTATTCAACTAATCATTGCAGTTCTTTACTTTTGTACTTTTAAGTAAGACTTTGAATGTAGAACTACTTATTCTTGAGTATTTTCACATTGAGGTTGCATTGCTTTTACTTGATTACAGCACTTGAATACATCTTCCACCCCAGATCGTTATCATTATTTAGTAATGGGACATGTTATGAGCATGTGTCTCACACAGTCTTAGTTTTCTCAGACTTAAATAAAAACTACTGTGTCCGTATGAAAATGAACCTGAATTGGACTCCTGTCATTACCTCCCATCTCCCCCTCGGCTATCAGTCCGTGATGCTGTGCAGTTGTGGGAGCAAGGCTTCCTTTGTCCTCTTTGTCTGTCTCTTTCTGTGTGTGTGTGTGTGTGTGTGTGTGTGTGTGTGTGTGTGTGTGTGTGTGTGTGTGTGTGAGATCACATGTTGGGCTTGTCTGTACACGCTGCCTGGTCACATTCCTTGTGGTCTGCTGGAGTTACTGTAATTCTGCTCTGTCTTTTTGCTCTCTCCAGATAAAACTTGGCACTTCCACACATGAAATTCACACTTTATTCGTTTGGCATTTTGCCTTTTTAGACTCAGATTAAATCGTTTTTCATTATAGGTCGAGGAGATCAGATAACTAGTATCCAAAGCTCCTCACAGGACCACGTGTGTTCCTTTTTTTTTTTTTTTTTAGCATAGGTGGCCGCAGTGAGAGCCGAGCCCCCTCACCTCACCCCTGCCGGTGTGTAACCCGCCTGCTGAGTTATGCAAGACGGAGGCTGGAGGTCACAGCAAGAATAATCCACTGAGATATATTAGAAAGTACTCTGGCATCCCTGACCTGCCTGCCAATGGGAAGTTATGCATAGTTGAATTAGAAGTTGGCCCAGATGCTTTGAATTCACAAATTCAGGAGCCAAGACTGTGTCATGTCCTTGTTCTCTCTCGGGTAAACACGAGTGCCGAGAATTTTAATGCCATATTTCTCTCCTTCGTGGTCAAAACCATTTCTCCTTCTAGGCTTTTGTTCTTGGCTTTGTGAGAGAATCTGTCATTGTATTGTACCATGAAAAAAAAGCTTTTTTTTTTATATGTCGTTCCAATTCATCTAAGAGAGAGCAGAAAATTTAGAGGTTCACTTAACTCAGATTTATTAAATAAAAAAAAACAAAAACAAACATATTTCGTCACTTTCCTTTGCTTCATCGGTATCTAGCCGTGCAGATTATTTTTGTGTTTATTATTCCAGAGTTCTGAGCCATTGACATTTCTGCTACCACTTCAGTTCAATGAACGGTGAACGTTTTTCAAGATAATCCACAGACCTCGCTGTGAGCAGTGTTCATGCTAAATCAATTAATCCTTTTGAGTCACACTTCAACCAAAAACAACAAAGTTCCAGCTTGTCAAATGTTATGATTTGCTGCTTTTCTTTGTCTCATACGTGCGTGCACCGAATATATTTGGGTTCTGGGCTGTTGCTTGGTCAGAATAATCTGAATATGTCACATTGGACTCGAGGAAAATGGCATTTTATCACAATCTTCTGACAAAACAGTTGCTAGAAAAATACTTGGCAGGGTGAAAATAAAAATAACCATAGAAAGTAGTTCCAAAGAAAACTGCTCACAGACCATTGCTCTGTGGATTACTCAGAGAAACCGGGGTATTTTTTCTGGAAAAGCTGTTGAAGACAAATCAACAGTAACATGGATTTCTTTTCAGTAGCAATGTTGGGAAGACAGCAGCAGGAAATGTCAACACCTAAGCACATAAAAACCAAAACTATACATACATGAAGAAAATTGCTCTGTTGTAATTTAGAGAATCAATCCTTTAATGGTCCAATATTTTAACCTTTTGAAGTGTTGATCCATAAGAAGATACATTTACGGCAGCGGTCCCCAAACTTTTTTCAGTGGGGGCCACATCAACTTTCCTTTCTGAGATGAGGGGCCGAGGTTAGTCTATAACAGGAAATGATATGGGCCAGGGTGACAACCAGTATTATTGTGGAGATTACAATGATAATTTGTTATAGCTGCCCTTCGTTTGGCTTTGGCACCACCTGTTGATTTGCAAAAAAAGTAATAAAAAGTCTTCACATGTGTTTTTTTGAAGTACCACAGATACTCCATTTATTTTATAGAAAATAACAACACAAAGTGATGGTAATGCCGGGGGGGGGCGCCGGCGGGCC